TCTCCTCTCTCTCCTCTCTCTCTCTCTCCTCTCTCTCTCTCTCTCCTCTCTCTCTCTCTCCTCTCTTCAGAAAAATACCACTGATCCATCGTTTATTGTCCCACAGCTATGATCTAGTTCTTTGTTGGATCTCAAGCCATGTGGGAACTACTGGCAATGAGTTGGCTGATCAGGCTGCGAAATTAGTGACTGGGTATCCTGACATTGACATTCCCACTGTTCCATCATCAGATTTAAAAGCTTAGTTCTGGCAGAGTGGTGCAATGCCACTTTCAAACTAAGGGCGATTAATACTTGTACAAAGCACTGGAAATGACCCCCCGCCCATCTGCGACTCATGTAAGACGAGCCAATCTGTGGAACATGTTCTTCTACATTGTGTAAAATTTGATGTCTTACGACGCAGACACTGTCTGGGCAAATCTTTAAAATAAGTACTTAGCAACGACGAGTCCGCTCTCAAACCTTTCTCAGGGAAATTGTTCTTGACCATTTGGTTTGAGAGAAATGCCAATATTCTTTTTCTATATCTTATTTGCCCACTATACAGCCAATTTCAAGTTTTGTATTATTTATTCTTTACGATCCCTGCACTTCAAGAAATAGAATTTATAATGCGGCGATTAGTATTTTGGATTTGAGTTATATTTATACTAGAAGACGTCGAGATTTCAAGAAACTTTATGGCAAACACGTTTTTGAAATAAAAATTCTATAGCAGATACCACCAAAATGTGAACTTAACTGAAAAGCGCGACATCCATCTTTTTGAAATTTACAATTTATTCTCTACGTACACAAGGCAGTAAAATAATAATATATTGTGTTCAGAATGTAGGTTTTAACCATCTAATACTGATAATGTAACAATCAGTTTTTGTCGTCGTTCGCGGCTGTGGTGGGTCTGAGAGCAACACGGCCTGCCACTGGAACACCCAAGTTTGATTGTTCGTTCACGGGTAATTGACATTTCGGCTGTGAAACTCGAGGGGCATGCATCCCGGTGATTACACGTTACTTGGACGTTTTCGGCAAGCTCAATACCAAATGCGACTGTGAATTACCGCGTATAAATGTAGGACAATTGGCAAGATGTGTGTCAGGGATCAAATTTATTCGTGATTACATGAGCTAGTACCAGAAGGCAATGACACTCCAAGAATAAATGTTTACACACGTGTCAAGGATGGAACCGGAGATTTGTACTGAGATGAGCAACATGACATTGGTCATAAGAATTATTAGGTTCACGTCCTTTCTTGCTTATTAGCATTGAAATCCTAGGAGTAAATAAATTAATGATTTTTAATATTTGATTTAAAAAATATGTTTTCTCTTTGTTTTAGGTGGGGTATTCTGTAGGAAGTCGAGGAGAAAAATTACCTCCAATTTACATGAAATCTCTTGACAGTACACTTGTCCCTGTACTGCATAATACTGCAAGTGCAATTTCCAATAGTTCTCCAATAGTATTAGAATTGATCTTCCATATAATGTTGCAATGACATCTTGAACTTAGTTGTCTGTCAGGCAACTCCATTTGGTGAATACTTCATTTCATAAAGAATATAATAAGGAATGACGTTGTTAATCGTGTCTCCGTTGTAAGTGCCTCGTCAGAGAGATGTTTGTAACAAGCGTTAGTTTTAGCTTAAGGAAGAAAGAAACTTGAATAGTGGAGAACTCTTGTATATTTTGTGAAATTTAGAATGTTATCAAATTCTTATAAGCAGAATTTTGAAGCATCCTTTGTATATTAAAATTTAGATATGGATTTGTCTGTTATTAAATATGCAGTGCTTTAATGTATTATAACAAATTTACCTTATTCGTCCATACATTTATTTAATTATTGTCAGTTCATTTATGTCTTTATGACATTTTCTTTGGGAATAAATACAATATGTTTCTTTGGTTTAATATTTTAACCCCAAAATATTGTTATATTGTAGATATTATCGACATGAAATTTTGAAAGTGTACTTGTTTGCTTAACCTGTAATAAATAATATTCTCAAAGTAATACTTGTCCAGTCATTGAAATTTAAATGGAAACCAAATAGTCCTTTTTAGAGGCGTAGAGTGGCAGATAACACCAAGGTAGGAATGTTTCGTGGTGTATGGTGTGTTTAAATGGTAATCTTCAAATAATTATCCAGTAGTCGATGTCATGATAGTGATCAGCGGCGCCATCAAGCGTGAAGCGGCATCCGCGTATAAAGGAGTTGAAGACTGAAGCCAACATGGCGAGCTGGTGTACGGTGTGTATCGTGTTTACGTGCAGAATAAATCACTCTCTCAATGAAACCGGAGCGCTATTATTACATGACGCAGTCGACAGTTACTTCAGTTAGATATAGTCGGTAAAGAAATAGTTAAAAGTAAACTGAAATGATCGTAGGATGGAAAGTAAAAGATTTCCCCAAAGGTCAACAGAAAATTCTAGAAAAATAGCAGAAGTCAAGCAAGCTGCTCAGTGGCGTAGCGTGGGTGTCAGCCACCCGGGGCGGAGGAAGATTTCGCCGCCCCCTTATTTAGGGATTTCAATTTAAAAGAATAACATATTTTAGTAATTCTAAAAGAACTTTTCGGCAAGAACAATCATCATTATTTTGTATTGTACAGGTTACAAATAAAGACATGCCCACATGTTTTAAAATACACCTAGCTGAACCCATGCGATTACATCGCACAGAAGGAAGTGCTGTAGAAATGTTATACAAAAAAAATCTGCATATCCATGAATATATATTGTTTTATATTTACCAAGATCTTTACACATACATACATGGATATTGTTTTAACGTATAACAGCAAATCCTGCTATCAAGCTTACCTTAATATATGTAACAATATATATGAAATACGATTTCCAATGTTAATCAGGACTCCTTCACTTCTTTTACGTTTTCCGTAGATTTCACAAGACTGAAATGTAAGAATGTACATTGATGACAATTGAAGGTCACAATCGCTTTAACGATCATACGAAATGTTTTCTGTGCAGGATCAAGATCTTTGATTTCCCACAGTCCGTCAAGTTGCATATGACACCTTCTTCCCGTTTCTATTCTAGCCTTGCATTTCAAACAACACAAATTTCATAGCTTTCGCCCATTGTTGATCTTAAGTAGTTTTAGACACGCTTTAAAACCGAGCACGATCTTTCAGTAGAACAAATTGAAATAGGTGTATACAAATACATACGAAAGGTGATATTTGGAAATACGGTGTAAAGGCCAATTCTTCCAAGAAACAGAAGCATTTTTTCGAAACCTTTAACATTATAAAAAGGTGTAAATATTTACATAAAAATATTTTAAAATTTAATTTAACATTGAATAAACATTATTAAAAAAAGTTGAACCGAAAATTTTCCGCCTAGGCCCGTGTCTAGGTTTGCCTACTCATAAATCCGCCACTGGTCTAATGCATCACATACCTCTTGCTCAAAAGACAAGATATTAAGATTGGTTAGCCTTGAAGTACTCATTCTTGATCTTAAATAATTTTTTTATCATTTTCAATTTTGAATCACTCCTCGCACATTGTGAGGAATATTCGCAGCATTATTGTAATATTTGGTTGAGTATCTTCTAGCTTGGATTTCACAATAAATTTTAATTCAAGTGGGTCTGCATTAATTTTTTTTCGTTGCCTTATGCAGCAATAGAAGTCCGCAGTCGAAATCGTTTCTGTTTGAAGTCCTGCTCGTCAATTTCGGCAGATGCGAAACTTTCAAACTTTTCTCAAAATCGGCTCCAAATTTTTTCTTTACATTTCTTGTAAGAATAGAGTAAAATACACTTACAAAAAAGTGGCATAGGTCCAAACTTCAGGGTTTACTCTGAATTATCGAACATTATGAAATTTTTTCGGTCGTCTTCCTACAACTACAAACTTGAAGATAGAGATTTTTCCTTCAAATAAAATTTATTATCTGTAATTAGTTCTTGTATTAAGGTCATGTACATTATTTTGAAAATGTTAGTCGTTTTTGCGCAATATTGCGTGCAAAGTGTGCAATATTAAAAAGTAACAAAAACAATATTCTCTCAAAAACTGTTCCAAATTATCTCTTTAAACTTTTGGTAGCGATAGTGCTAAATGTTACTCTATGAGATGACATAAACATCAATTCGCTCTATTTTTTGTTTTCTTAAAAAAATACAGAATGTAATTCTATTGACTTCTCTCGCGTCGTTAATATTTACACTAGCGGTGATTTGTTCACTTAATATTCATGAGTACATGTGCTTTAAATGTCAAATAAGATTTCTCAAAATTTCAATCGTTTTCTGTAAAAACTATCTCGAAATTCCTCATTTTTAGAAATGCACAAACGCCATTTTCTCAAAAACTGCTCAAAATTTTTCCTCAAACTTTTTGAATGGATAATACGTTTGTACCCTTCAATATGACGTAAAGTTCATTTTTAAAGGTATTGTTTTTTCGAAAATTACACAAATGTAATTTTTTGAAATAGTTCTCACGCCGTTAATATGCACATTTCCAGCTATTTATAAACACTCTTGTATTTGTGAGTTAAAGTGCTTCAAAATACGTCCAATAAAAGTTTTTCGAAAACTCAAAAATTTTCTGTGAAAAAGATCTTCAAATTTCGAATTTACAGTTGCGCTTCAACGCCATTTTCGTAAAAACGGCTCCAAATTTTTCAAATACAATTGCCATTTAGGACAAGGTTTTACTGTTCTATAATATTCCTAAAATGATATTTCCGGTCAACTATTAGGAAACCGAAAAAATAAGAAAATGTCAACAAATGTTCTTTGGGCGGCGATAGATGACAACTGGTAAGAGTATATGACAAGTCTGAAGAGCTAGCCGAGGCCAAAGGAAATAGAAACTTAATACGGGAAAGTCTGTGCTTTTCTGTAACATCACTAGTTGATGTATACACTGGTGTTTGTGAAAATTGAACACCAAGAAGGAGACATACTATTGCAATGAAATTTATTTCACAGATTAGGAATATCACAATATACAAGCAATTAGAATTACAAAACGTACCTGCACTTTTACCTTGAGTATTGAGTACGGTGTGAAGCCGCCACGCGCTGCCATTACTGCCTCTAGAGGTCGGCATGGATTCAGAAAAAAGCCTTGATATGCTGCTGCTGTGGAACACAATGCCACGCTGTTTCTATACGTGACCACAAAGCATCGACTGTGGCTGCAGGAGGACCAGAACGACCAAGAACGATCATGTTCGATGGGCGACATGTCAGGCGAACGTGTTGGTCAGGGAAGGGGAAGTAACCGCCGTTCTTCGCAGAAAGCTTACACATTCCTCGCCACATGCGGTCGCGCTTTGTCCTGAATTATGGCATGCGGAGCTGCTTGCAGGAGGGGCAGTACCTCGGGCTCTAAAACTTCCCTGATGTAGCAGTTGATGTTCTGATTGTACTCAATAGTGTGAGGCGAGACCGCACATTGCAGCCAAATGGACCCCAAACCATCACACTTGGCATTTGTCCGCTATGGCGCGGAACAATGCAAGCTGGCAGATTGCGATCACCATGGTAGAGTCGAACACGTACGCGGCAATCGCGGTACCACAAATTGAAGTGGGTCCGAAAACACCAAATGTTGCCGTCGTCCGAAAACACTACATGTTGCCACTTACCACACCAGAGAAGGTGTTCTCGTGCCCATTGCTGAGTGAGGCGTTAGTGGTTTCTGCCCAACGGAATCCGACGCAGTGGAATGCATGCCTCAAGTCCAGCCTCAACAGAAGGCGTCGAACCGTCGACGAAGACATGACCACACCCGTTGCAATGCTCCCAAGTCGAGCCAACACTAAACGACGCTGTTCTGTCGAGTTTACGCGGACACGGCGGTCATCTCGCGATGTGTTCACATTGTGTGGTCCAGTTCTCTCTCGTCGCTGGGTATGACCCTCCTGTTTCCACACACACTTTACCTTGTAACAGCGCGCCCCGTTCGAGCCGCAATGTCACGGTACGACAATCCCGCTTCTCGGAGACCGAACATGACGTCCTGTTCGAACTGACTCAGATTATTTTGCTCCCTTTGGTATCGACAAGCCATGCCGGCCCTTGCTTGCACGTTTCCACGTCGTTTGACGGCTCTGCACGGAGTGTGGCGTAGCAATGATTTGACCTTTCACACAATGGAGGGCGCTGTTAGGCCAATGTGCACGGCATCTCTACGCAAAGGGTACCCCTATTTAAGATGGTAAAAATTTCCCCTCAACCAAATGACATATGAGTAGTTACATTATAACTCTAACATAATAATATTTTTGAAAGGTTTCTTAATTGTCTCACCACTCACACCCATCTGCAGCCAAAAACGTGTTTTTTAAAATTTAATTTCTGTCGTCAACTTAACTCTATTTCATTTGATATAAAAATATGAAAAAATAGAAAATAATTCATACTATTAGAAAAAAAAACATTTTTTGATATTTTCTCAGCACCAAATTTAAACGCAAAAAATATTTTTGAAAGAAATAAAAAATAATTTTTACTTTGTCTTATAACCGGGGTACTGGCTCGAACAAATCTCAAACTTTTCCTTTAAAAACACAAATTATTGTGGATTTATTTAAGATTTTTTCCACTGCTGAGTTGCAGTTAAACAAGTTTTTTAAAAAAATATCATTTCCCGCTTTGAAATCACCGTGACTTTAAATATACTTTGAAAATGTCTGCAACAGTTCTGTGCATTTATTCGAGAGTTTATTATACATTTATATACATTGTTGTAGTCCCTACTATTATTTTGACTTTGGAATGTGGTTACAAATTATGTTTTTAAAGCGTTCTAATTCTTTGTATATGATACGCTTAGGAAAGACGATAGTTTTTGGCAGTTTATAAGAAAGCATCGGCACAAAACCTTCTGTTATACTGGTGGATAGAGAAGTACCCACTTCTACACTGAACAGATTTCAGAAGAAAAATAGAAGTTATGACATACAGGAACAAAATATTGCACCACATACGATGATCGCGAATAACTCATAGCGATACG